CTGAGGAGAAGGTGAGGCGCAGGCCTATCGCTGAGCCTGGAGGCAGGGAGGGGATGAAATGCAGGGCTGGCTCTGCTGGACCTCATCGCGCTTGGCTCAAACGGCCACGCAGCGCTCGTGCTTTCCCCAAAGCTGCTTTGTAGGACAGGGCTAGCGCAAGGCTGTAGCTGAGTGGAAAACCACGAGTTTCACACGGTGTCAGGTGCTTTATTTGCTTTAAAAGAGCACGGCCAGAGGCCCTTGAGCTGCTGCTTCCAACCGCGACCCCAAGCCACGAACCGCCCCCACTTTGACCCGCTGCCTCGAGCGGCGCTCGGCCCGTTAGCGGCGCGTCCCGTCGCGAAACGCTGCTCGATCTGTTCCGCCCGCGGCGGCTCCTCATCCAAAGAGCGAGGAAGTTCAGCCCTAACGCACTGTATCGAAACCGATCGAAACCGAGCACACGCGCGCGGTTCAGAAGCCGAAACCTTCTGATCCTTACAGCAAGGAGCGCAGGGCAGAGGCGAAAGGTTGAACCAAGCCCTTCCCTCGCGGGAGGGTGGCAGGCAGCGCAGAAAGCCTGCCCGGAGCTAACGCTAACGTGGCCTGAGAAATCGGACTGAAAAATAGGTACCTATTTTGCACTTTTGATACTGGGAGGTGGGGGGGATGCGGAAGGGAATTAATTTATTTGTTAAACTTGTCTTTTTTATTTTCCTTTTTTTTTTTTTTTTGTGGGTATTTGTGAACAGGCACTGATGTCATTTTGTTTTAAAAATATTAAGGATTTGCAACCAAAATAAACTATTTTAATGTGTGAGGAGTCGGCTCGATGTTTTATTACATAAAGCTGTAACATCTCCGTGCGAGTTCCGAAACCTGGGGACTGTTAAGCAGCACCCCACATGGAAGCGGTTGGTAAGAGAAGGGTCTGCTTTTCCCATCGGGAAAACCGGCTGTTAGTTTATTAAAACAGGGCTCTGATCTCTTAAGGGTCAGGCCCCCTTTCTGAAGGAACTGTCTGGAGTGGGAATGAAAAGGCCCCGGGTGACGCAGTGCACAGGCGTGAGCGATGGCTCAGGGGGTGAGCACAGGAAGCCAAAATGCCATTCCACAGTTCGTTCGCATCCCCAAGCTCGGAATTGCTTTTTCCTAGCAGTACATGGCGTTAATTCCTTACTGCAACAGGCTTGTTCCCCGCGGCTGACTGGTGAGGGGACATGGAAGGCGGATCGCTTGGACCAAGGTTTGTGAGGGCATCTCTGACCCCCTGGTTGAAAGGGGCCGGGGGCCCTGCGGGAACTCGTGCGGCCCTGCGGCGTCTGCACGTGCGGCCGGGGGAGCCCTGCGGGCCCTGCTGCGGTCCCCAGGGGCCTCCATGCGCACGGACGATGCAGAGCCCTGTGGGCTTTCGTGTGACCCCCCGGGGCCTCTGTGAGCAGAGATCGGGGGCCTGTGGGCCTTGGAGCAGCCCCTGGGGCCTCCGTGTGCGCGGGGTCTGCGGGGCACTGCGGGCTCACGGGCAGCCCCCGGGGTCTCTGTGCGCATGGGACCGTGAGGGCTCTGCGGGTTTGATACAGCCCCCCAGGGCCTTCTTGCTGAGGGGCTTTCATGCGGCCTCCCCTCGAGGTCCGCCTGGTGGCCGTGGGGCCCAAGGTAGCTGCGGCTCCACCAGGGCTGTGTGGAGCCCCTCGGGATTGGGCTGGACTGGGTCCGTGCCAGTGCCCACGCTGGGGCTGGCACTGGCGCTGGGCACAGCTTTTCCCTGGGAGCTCCGTGCGGAGCCGCTCCGGGGCATCCTGCCCTGGCCCCAGCACTCCGGGTGCCGTGTGGAAGTGCCGAGCGGGTGGGAACGGATGGGCCCCCCGAGGGAGCATCAGGCATCCAGGAGAGCTTCTTTCCCAGCAGTGTCAGAATTCCGCTAGAGAAGAATCCTGAGGTTTCTGGGGACCGGGAGTGTTCCTAGGTGAGGGGCTCCCAGCTGCTGATCCATCTGTTACGGATCAAGTTGCTTTTTGGGTAGGGGGAATAGACCCGAAAGGAAGAGGGAGCTACCGGTCATCCAACTGAGGGGGCGTCTGGATGTTCCACTAACAGCTCCAGAAGCCTCAGTCCGTCTTAGGCCCCTAATTAACGGTTTGCCCAGCACTACAAGGGTATATATGGAAAATTTGAAGGAAGGAGTTGTTAGGGCCTGAGGAGGTGATGATCAGAACCCCCGCACCCACGGCCCCATGTAGGTCCCTGCTTGGGCCCATCTTTTCAGTGGTGGCAACCAACAGAACTAGAGGAAACAGCCGGAAACTGAAACACCAAAAGTTCCACAGGAACTTAAGGAAAAATTTCTTGAGAGTGAGGGTGACAGAGCGCTGGAACAGGCTTCCCAGAGAGGTTGTGGAGTCTCCTTCTCTGGAGATCTTCAAACCCGTTGGACGCAGTCCTGTGCCACGTGCTCTAGGTGACCCTGTGTGTGCAGGGGTTGGACTAGATGATCCCTAGAGGTCCCTTCCAACCTTAACCATTCTGTGATTCCATGATCTACTTACCTGACATGGCGAGTCACAGACGACAGATGGCAGGGTCGGACCTCGAACACGAGCCCTGAGCCCGACCCCAAGCCATGGGGACGGCACAGGGCACCTCCGCGGTGGCAGCAGAGATGTCCAGAGCAGACAAACAGACCCCGCTGTTTGACCGTCCCAGTGGAATGACACAAAACCCCCTGCCCACCAGGCACCGCCGCGGGCCAACGCTCCGACCCGCAGCTCCCGCACGGCAAGGGACCGTGAGCCCCAAGCTGACAGACGTACACGCACAGGACAGAGAAAAATCCTATGCAAAAAGAATTATTTTGGCACAGAAAATATCGACGACTAGAAAAATCCTATTTTTCACCTGCTCCCCCTCTCCCTTTGCTTCTCCCACTTTTCCCCCTCCGCGCTTCTTCCTTTCCCTCTCCCCCTCTGACTTTGCCTGTCAAGGAGAGGGGAAAGCGGCAAGGAAAAAGGAAAGGTGGAGCGGGGAGGAAGCACGGAGAGGAAAGGGGGAGAGGGAAAGGGAGAATGTGCTCGTAAGGAAGGGCTCCAGAGAGGGAGCTCAGGCCGGGGAAACCTTCCTGAGAGGGGCTAAATCGATGGCCAGAGAGACACAGACGGGTGGTGCCAGGCTCTGGCCTCCAGAATAGCTGAGCAGGTACCGGGAAGACCCCAGCAACAAAGAAGTACAGCTTCCCTCCCCCAGCCAACACAAGGGAGAAGAAAGCAGGATGAGGATGAACGGATAAAAGTCCAGGCTCGAGGTGGCAGGAGAAATCCTTCTTCTCCCATCTCACCCTACCAGGTACCCCTATCCAACAGGTACAAGGCCCTGGAGGATGAAAGGATGGTGAAGGCGAGAGTCCCTCTTCTCCAAAAATATGAATATGGTCAGAAAGGCCAATTCCCCGTACTGAGACCATCGGCAGGGGGAAATAAAGGCGGGTTACGGATGTGGGGGGTTCCTTAGTACAGGGAACAGAGGGTCCCCTATGTAGAAGAGATCTCCCCTAAGGGAGGTTCACTGCCGTCCTGGGGCCGGGATGGGACATGAGTCTGAGCGGGGCAGGGGGGGAGGAAGAAGCAGGGAGAGGGGGAGGAGGAGGAAGGGGAGGTGGAGGAAGCAGGAGCGGGGAAGGGCGGCAAGGAGAAGAGGGAGGAAGCAGCACCCAGCTCGAGGTGGAACATTAACCGCTCGCCTCCCGCAAGCCCCACATAACCCAGATAAGGTATCGGGCTTCAAAGCCGCGGCCTCCACCCTGCACGGGGGGACCAGGCGGCCGCAGGCGCCCGAGCCCAGCGGGAGGGAAAATCCCATCCCTGGTCCGAGCGGAGAAGGGGCGTGGGGGCACTAGGAGGGGAGCCCGGTGGATGGTACTGACAGGTCTCACCAGAGCCCAGAGGACGTGGAGCCACCAGAGCCATCGTCGCACGTGGGGAGCCCTAAAAAAAATAAAGTACATTGTCCAGGTGGGAAAATTAAACTTGGAGCCGCAAGTTTACACCATTAACCAGTGCAAACCCTCTGCTGCTCCCCTTCTTTTCCAGCTTCGCAAAGCCACAAGCAGCAGGGAGTGCTGGAAAAGCTGGGGGGAGCCTGGGGGTCTCCTAATGGGGTGTTTTTAATCCGCGTGCAGTGGGAAGCAGAAGGGCAAAGCAGGGGGGAAAAACCTCGGCAGGGAATGGGCTCGGGGTGGAGCGGCCCCAGACGGTGGGCAAATACTGTAAAAACTGGGAGCGATAGCGGCTTTTGTTCCTTATCTCGCCAGCTTTTGCGCTTCCCCTGCACCTCAGGGATACAGCGCTGCGATGGAACCCACCAGCTTTTCCCAAAGGGGCTTCCACGGCCTCCCCAGGCTTCGGGGAAGCAGCTCCCTAGGGTTTTGGGGTGTAGCTTGGCAAAAACGGGCTCCAGGAGGGAGCTGCACCAGGTAGCCGCGTGAGACAGCGCCGGAGCTAGCGCAAAGCTCCAGAGACAGGAGAAAATTCCTCCCTTCCCCAGCAAGCTGCCTTCCCCCCTCCAGGCAACGTCTCGGCCACCTCATCCCACCGCCTTTGAAGCAGGACCGTGAGTGGCAGCATCGGGAAGAGGCGATGGCCCCGAGCGGAGGCAATTCCGCCGGCGCGATGGCCTCCTCCTCCAGCGAGGCCACGGCAAGCGCAGGGCAGGGCCGCAGGGGCCAGACCTCTCCCCCTATATAGGGGGAAGCCGCTCGCCCGGGCGCTGCACAGGCTCTCCCGGGCGGTCAGCGGAGCAGGGGATTTACCTGCCCTCTCCCTGCTCCCGCGCCCGTCCCAGCCCCGGGCCGCTGGCTGCAGCCCGGGCTTCTCCAGGAGGCAACGGCACTTCAGCCTCGTCGTCCGGGTCCCGTGCAGAGATGAAGAATCTCCTCGTGCTCGCCGTGCTCTTGGTGTGCGGTAAGTGCCTTCCTTGGGGTCTCGCCTGTGCTGGAATAAAGCAATCAGGGACTGCAGCTTTGCCGCTTCTCCTCGCTGCTTCGCTCTCGGAGTCGCTGAGGTCTCCGTTAGCGCCGTGAGGCTTTCGGGCACCAGGGCTCAGCGCACTCCGGGGGGTTTGGGAGCCTCTCGTCACCCGCTGTGCCAAGCCCCAGGCTGGCCCTGCCGGATAACGGACACAAGTGGGGCAAGGAGACCCTCTAACAGACCACAGACCAGTTGGGAACGACCCCTAACCCTGCGCTGCCGGGTCCCAGCGCGTCCCTCGGCCTCCCCGCAGAGCAGCCGGCGCGCGGGAGCGTCCTGGCGCTGCAGCGCATGGTGGAA